CCGAGTGTTTTCTGGTAACAGAATGGATTGGGGAATGGATTAAGATGCATTAGATGTGGTATATAAGCATTCTGAGTGAACTTTTGGTGACCAGAGCCTGGTGAAAAAGGAAAGAGAGGGGTATTGATGAGCCATTTTAACATTTAATCTACAAAAAAAATAAAAAATTATATTTTTAATATAACTGAACTGCTACTGCTAATATACACAGAACTGCTTGTGGTTCCAGCTAACCCATTGTTTTATCACAATTTCACCATCCAGTTAGGCACATCAACCATAACTCCTTCAAAAACAGTCAGAAACCTTGGAGTTGTGATTGATGATCAGCTGACTTTCTCAGACCACATTGCTAAAACTGTCCGGTCCTGCAGATTTGCTTTATTCAACATCAAGAAGATCAGGCCCTTTCTTTCAGAACATGCTTCACAACTCCTTGTTCAAGCTCTTGTTCTGTCCAGGCTGGACTATTGCAATGCTCTCTTAGCAGATTCCAGGTTCCAGCCAGTTCTATCAAACCTCTACAATTAATCCAGAACGGGCAGCAAGATTAATTTTTAATGAGCCAAAAAGAATGCATGTCACACCTCTGTTTATCAATTTGCACTGGCTACCAGGTGTAAAATTTAACTTTCACTAATGCCGTCCTGTAATTAAAAATTAATATATAAGTTTGTACACATTATTGTGTCACAAACAGCTAATCAAGCATATACAGATCTGTAAATAAATATGGAGAGAATTTGTTCCATTTTGTGTAATGGAATTGTTTGTGAAGTATGTGAAGGTTCAACTACATGACAAAACTTGTTTTTCCTGTGAGTCGAAAGGAATTTACTGTCATTCACACATTGAGAGAATAAGCAGTTCCTGTGTACTGTATGTTCATGTTAACCCTCCTGTTCTGCACAAGAAGAGTTGTTTAATCTGAAGGCAAAAGGCATCTGTTTTTGTTGTCCATAGAAACTTGATACATACGTTGTGGAAATGATCTTTAAACTTTGCCACCCTGTTTGACTGCTCTCTGCTACAACCTGGTTTTCAAAGCAGGAACAGCAAGCCCAAAGAGAGAGTTGATATTAAAAATTTTCTATTTCTTAATACTAGAATTTTTTTAAGCTACAAGTATCTATTTGCTATACTTATTCGTTGGCTACTAGTGCTTATTCTTTAAGTGCTAGTACATATTTAAAAAGATACTAGTACTTATTCATTAGATAATAGTAGCTAATAGAAAGATATAGTACTTATTGATTATGTAATAGCTGCTATTAAATAGATACTAGTATTTATTTATTGGTGACTAAGTAACTATTCTGTTGTTAGTAGTAACACATTAAAATATTTGCCTTTGCCTTCTATGTGGATCTGTCATCCAGATATCAACTATTCCGTTTTGACTGTATTTATTCCAGTTGTGACTAGTACCTTTTTAAAATATATACTACTTATGGTAACACTTTATTTTAAATAAAGTGTTACACATGTTACATGTACTTACTATTATAATAACAATTGATTATGCATAATTATATGCAAGTAACCCTAAGCCAAACCCTATATAGAAAGTACATGTAGTTAATCAATATTACTCAGTACTTAAATGTATAATTACACTGGAACAAGGACAACTTAAAATAAAGTGTAACCCTACTTTATTATATACTAGTACATATTCATTAGATACTAGTACCTATTAAATAGATATATTTATATGTTTCCTTTGTTTATGTAAGAGAGTGTTGCTTTATTATGTAATATTTATAATTCAGATGCAAGCAACATAAGCACTATCACTGCTACTGTCATGCCAGAGACAACCACAACTGAAACCACAGAAACTACAATGGACTTTATGACCAATGTACTGTGTTACAATCAGGAGGATTATTGTTTTTCTTGAGCAAATCAGGCCCATGTGTTTGTGAAATTATTTATAATAATGAAATAAGCTATATAGGCAATAATATTATATGGCTATATTAGAGTGATTCAACCATCGGCACAAAGCCACAGGTAATCACAAATGTGCTAATATATGGCCATATTATTTAATAACTGTTAATAGGTACTTAAGCAGTGAAATAATCAATGGACAAACTTTAAGTACAATAACTTTCTCCAGCTTTTGCTTTCCTTTAAAAATGCAAGAATAAAAGAAGTGTAATAGGAATAATTCAGTGAAAGATCCCTGTCTCTTGATATGAAACCTTGAAACTTGATCATATTTTAGCAGTCCTACACGTCACTATTCACATCAGACCCTACTTTCAATTTCATCATTTTTTATTGTATTGAGACAAAGTTTTATTTGGCAAACCAAGCATAATGTGTTTATTTATGACATTTATGAAATGCAGAAATCCCAAACAGTTTTGTGTTCAGTACATTTCATGATGCATGCAGATTCAGAAAGTATGTTTTGTTTTTGACAGAAAATGTGTTTTTAGATAACAGGACAAAAAATATCTTCACCTCAAAGTTAGATTTTAAGGCTGCATATTTGACTGATTCAGAGTTAAAATATATATTGCTAAAATATAATCTACTCAGATTGAAGGTGCCACACATTTGTTTTTCAGTCTGTGTGGGGCTCGTAAAACCAGCCGAAATACACTGTGATAATTTACTGTACAGTTAGTTGGTAATTATGAAAACATAAAGCCCAATAACATACAAATGTTCAGAAGCTAATTTTTGCATCAGAACAGAACAAGAAAAACTCATCAGGCTATTTTTATGATTATGATTCCGACTTTACATCTCACATCTGTGACTTTCTGTAGTAACTGATCATTTATACACTATATATTAATGTGTTACAATTTAGATGAGAAGATTAATTGTAAGGTACAGTGTTCTCAGTTCTCATTAGGAGGAATATAGTTCAGGTTTGGAACAGTTTTAGTGTTATGATTATGTTTAAGGCTGTGTTATGCTGTAAGATATGAGTCAACAGTGTACGTACAGAACTGCATTACATACAGCTGTACATAAATGCGTGTGTTTTTAAATATAAGCACAGTGTATCATGTATCTGCACAATAAGTGCACTTTATCAAATTACAAATTTAAATTTTAGAAGACTGTATAATGACACTTCATGTAAAGCGGGTCTCAGTATTTTAACAGAACTTTTCCGAACTCCACGACAGTTGCTTTCAGCAGCATCAGCAGTGATCCCTGCTACAACTATGAGTCTCTGGATCGTCCCTGGAGAGCCAACAATGAAAGTGGAGTTTACGTTTGTGATGAACGATTCTCCTGGAATGGCTGGTACCGGCTTTTCTACTATGGAATGAACATCCAGATGCCAGAGACCTGTGTTAGTTCATACAGCTGTAATGTATACATCAATCTGTGGCTCAACGGTTCTCACCCTCAGATAGAGGATGGAGTGGTGACCAGAGAGGTCTGTGGTAAATATTATACAGGTAACTGCTGTTATTACAAGATAAACCCCATCAGAGTGAAAGCGTGTCCAGGCAATTACTATGTCTATGAACTTGTGAAACCACAATTCGGATGTTCAGGATACTGCACAGGTAACGTGCTTTTTCTCTTCACTCTTTTTTAACGAAGTCTTTCAAAAGTTTTAAAATCACTTCAATCGTGTCTTGAATGTCCTTCTCTTCAGATGTCAGCACCATTTCACGGCCAATTTCCACCATAAGTCCAAATATAATTACTGGATCCAGCATTACCTCGAGTAAGTTACATTTTAATTCATTCATGTAACCTCTCTCTCTCTCTATGTTTTTGTGTATGTGTGTGTGTGTGTGTATGTCAGAGGTGGAAAGTAACTAATTAATTACAGATACTTTCGTTACAGTACTTTTTTTTGTACTTTCTTGAGTATAATTAAATTTGGTACTTTTACTTGAGTTGAATAAAAATAAAGTATTCAACTTCGTTACATTTATTTTTGATCAAAAGTACAAAAAAGACAAAGGTGCTGATGGAGAAACTGGGCGAGCTGGTGTTTGACGGGCACTGCGCTTCAGGTAATAACAGACAGGTCTGACTCGGGTGCAAAACCAATCAAAACTCATTCGTTCAAACTCGGGGCGTTCAAACTGCGCTTGACTTTGACAGACAGTCACTGATGTTAGCGTTTTGAATTAGTATCGTTAACATTTCAATATTTTAGTGAATGTAAATGAGCTATGCTCTGATTTTAAATTGTAATTTTGACAGCTGCTGATATGGGTCACTTCATTGATATTACCAGAACGCTCAGCAGTTTAATTAAATAGAAAACTCGGTTGATAGAAGGACACAGTTATAGGGGTTATGTGCAACAGACTTCCGTATTCTGTTAACCGGTCTCATCGCTTCCGGTTCAAGCGTTTTGCATATGCTTTGTTAAATATGAAGCTGTTTTACTCAAGATGCCTTCAAAGTAGATACAAAGATGATCATAACCAATGTCCATCACATATGCGGATTGATATCTAAAAGATTTTTATTCTTTTCACTAACATGTATATAAAAATGGAATAAAACGTCAACAATGAAAACAGCTAGCTAGTGTAAAGTTCGTAGTTCAGGAAGAAGGAGGTGGGAACCGGCAAATGTGCAAAGAAAACTTTAATAATAAAATAAACACAAAATAGCGCGACAGCCCCTCGCGGACGACTGTCGTGCACAAACAGAACCAAAACACAAAACACCCGCCCCACTCGTCACAGCTAGTTTAATTGATTAGATATCACCATTATTTAATACGGCTGTTAACACGTTCTCTGACAAGCAGAAGCGATGAGACCTGGTTTCCGGGTTTGGTCATGTGACGTTCGCAAGAACAGGTAGGTAAGGTAAGCAGGTAAGTGTCTTAAGTGCATGCACTCAGTTCAGTTGAATGGTAAAGCTTGCCCTCTTTAACAGTGCAGTTAAACTAAATGTACGAAGTATGAAGCTGAAATAACCTCAACATTAACAACAACATTGAAATAAGAGCGCATGCATTTTTATGTGCATCTGACTGACAGATAAACTACGATTTATCTGACAATCAGATGCACATAAGTACTATAGCAACGGTGGACTCCAGGCACATTTTCGGTATTGAAAGAAAAAAGCGCTTTTTATTTAACATGTTAACCTTTACCTAGGCTTGGGAATCAAAAATCGCTTCCAGTTCTGGAATCGCATACTTAAGAATCGGATACTTGTTATAAAATGTAAATTTCGATTCCTTTGTGTGCATTTTAATATAACTTCAAACCATTCAAGTCAAGAAGACTCACATTATATCCAAGACGTGCGCACAGAAAGCCACCTCTCATACTGCGTGATACTGAACTGAGTCCTCTTTTATTGCCCTGTCCAAATACCCACACTTGCAGTCTTGGCCACTTGAGAGTGCAAAATCTTAAAACACTGTTTATTTCAATCGTTAATTAATTAATTTGTTCTTATTTGTACGATTGCTAATTTGTTTATTTGTTCTTTTTAATTACTGAGTATTTTCTTGTTTTTTAATAATGCTTGAAATTTAGATTAGTTAGACTAGTTGTTTTTTGCTATGTTATTTTTAAACCAGGCAAAAGTTCCTTGTGTAAGTGTTCTTTAGCCTGTTGATTTCCATTCAGTATTCAGCTACAATGAAATATGTGTGTGTGTATATATATATATGAAAAAAATATATGTGTGTGTGTATATATATATATATATATATATATATATATATATATATATATATAAACGATGCCCAACCTTACACATACCCCAAATTATTTTTTACTGGCAATTTAATTTGTCAATTAAATTACATTTATGAATTTAATATCATGTTTTGGTCCAAAATTACTATATAACATCAGTCATGTTTGAGATGACTTGTGTCTGTGGTTCCGTATTGCTTCTTATCACAGAATGAGACAGAAAAAATATTATTATTATTATAAAATTCTATACTGTGATACAGGTTATGTCGGTTAGCATTGCATTATACATATACATCATTCTTATTAAAATACCCGAAATGGTTTAAATAACAAAGATAAACACAGATATATCATTGCAATTGTGTTTCTTAATATTTCATCAGTCAAAATGTCTGCATGTTATTCAGCTGTAGTGATATCTGATGCATTTGTCCATATAAGGGATTTCCAGGAAAGTCATAAGTTTAATACTTCTATGAGTCTCAATTGTGAAACAGACATTGCATGAGAGTGTTTAATGCTCCATAATGCTCACATCGCCTCATTTTGGGTAAAAATAGAAAAATAAAACTGAAGTACTTTGTAACGCAGTAACTTGAGTAGTTTTTCAGCAAAATACTTATTTACTCTTACTTGAGTTATATTATTTTTCAGTACTTTTACTTGTACTCAAGTAAATTATTCCTTAAGTAGCTTTTTCTTAAGTAAAGTTTTTCAGTACTCTTTCCTCCACTGATGTATTTATGTTGACCCGTGCAATAACTACAACATACTAGACAACCACCGGAGAAGCACACGCAATTACTGGTATTGGAATGGCGATGCAAATGGACTTGATGACACTCGTGTAGAATGGGATGGCTGGTATCGGCTCTTCATTGATGGATCAAGTGCTCAGATGCCTGAGTGGTGTATGTCTTACCTGTCATGTGGAGGTTTTAGTGGTCTTCATCTTGGCGGCTCTCATCCTCAGCTAGAAGATGGAGTTGTTACCCGTGAGGTTTACGGCTCTCGCGATTATCGGTGCCGTTACTACAGATCTGAACCAATCCAAGTTCAATCTTGTCCTGGAAAGTATTATGTCTACAAATTTACCAGACCAACTCTTTCAATCCCAGCTCCTGTATATTGTGCAGGCATGTTCATTTATCTTTTTATTTGACATTTATCACAAATTGTATTAGTTTGTATTCATATTATTATCTTGAATAGATTTAATATGCAGTATGTAATGCTGTCTTTCTACTTTTTCATAACAGTATTGTTAACCACTCCAAGTGTGGACCCCTGCTACAACTACACCAGTCTGGATGAGACTTGGAGAGCTACTAATTACTCTAACATTGGCATGTGTGAACATAATGTGGCGCGGAATGGCTGGTACAGACTGTTCTACAATGGTCAAAATACTCGGATGCCAGAATCATGTGTTAATTATGGCATGTGTGGCACTTATCACCCACTATCACTCAACGGCCCTCACCCACAGCTGGAAGATGGAGTGGTCCTCCGTCAGGTCTGTTTATCAGCGGGTGGCTGCTGTACTTACACATCCCACCCTATAAGAGTCAAAGCCTGTCCCGGAAATTACTATGTTTACGAGTTTGTTAAGCCAATTTTTTGCTCAGCTTACTGTGTAGGTGAGTATTTACTCATATGTAATTAAATTAACTTTTCTAGGTTATGTTTAAAAATGTTTGATACTGATATAAAATTTTCTTAATACCAGAAGCCTCAAGCCAGTCCATCCAATTAGTTTCTACAACAACAGAGAGAATCCCACCCATAGAATCCATTACTCCACCAATCACAGCCTCTGGTAAAGTATTGTCTTGTTTTCTTTTAAAGTCTCAAGAATATTTTTTACTCATTTATTTTCCTTACACATAGTCTCTTAAAATGTTTCGGTCTTTCTGTCCCATTACAAAAGAGTGTAGCAAAATCACAGTTAAAGTAGTAAAAATCAGTATGCAAGACAAATGAGAAGGAAAGGACAACAAGTGCCTAAACACTCATTCTTTATGTGACTGATTTTATTGCTTCTCTAACTCTATTTATTTAATAGACAGTGTAACCGATCAGGGACGTGCAGAGAGTTCCTCAGGGGCAGGGGCTCAAATGTAAAATAGGGGCAATGAAAAAATTATATTTGGATACATTACTATTTTATATTTTTGCAAGAAGTCACTTATGGTCATCAAGCCTGAATTTATTTGATCAAAATTGTAATATACTTTAAAATACATTTTATGCAATGCTGATTTATTATCAGTGTTGGAAACCTGTGATACTTTTTTCAGGATTCTTTGAATAAAAAGTAAAAAAAAAAAAAAAGAACAGCATTTATTTAAAATATAACTTCTGTAATATACACTACCATTCAAAAGCTTGAGGTCAGTTTTTTTTAAGAAATTTAGGTTTTATTCAGCAAGGATTTGTTAAATTGGTAGAAACCGTGATAGTAAAGATTGATATTGTTAGAAAACATCTCTATTTTGAACAAATGCTGTTCTTTTAAACTTTTTATTTATCAATGAACCCCAGAAAAGTATCACACGTTCCAAAAAAAATTAAATAATAATAAAAATAAGCAGCACAACTGTTTCCAACATTGATTATAAATCAGCATATTAAAATGATTTCTGAAGGATCATGCACTGAAGACTGGAGTATGCTGAAAATTCAGCGTTGCATCACAGAAATAAATGATATTTTAAAGTATATTAAAATAGAAAAACATTCTTTTAAATTGTAATAATATTTCGCAATTAGTTTTTTTTCTGTATTTTTGATCAAATAAATGCAGGCTTGATGAGCATAAGACACTTTCCATAATGCTGCATAATTATCAAAAATGGTAATATAATAAAGTCCTTTCACGTCACCATTTCGCCAGCCTACACTTCACATAATAGGCCTGTAGAAGCCACTTGGGTTTCATTAACTATGATTTCATGAAATAGCAACCGCTATATCATACATAAATATAAGTGAATTGAATACTGATTACCATTATAGCGACTTTTGGAACTGCACGGTTTTGTGCAGTGCTTTTGTAGTCATTTAGCATCCATTTTCTCAGCGATGTAATTTGATTTATAAAATGAGACAAACCGCAGATCCAGATCGCTCCAAAAATAAGCTCATCTGCCCCGTGTAATTTTCAACCGATTTATAAATAAGAACAGAAAATAACCACTCCACTTCACATTATTGTCCAATGAAATTTGAACTTGTGCCAGATCATGATTGGTTGGTGTATTATACATGACAAACGGCATTGATAAATTATGTAATATTCTAAAATATATAATACATGGATTTTTTATTAAAACGACACACTAGCTTTGATTATTGATGAAAAAAAGTTTAAAATATTGTTTGGTTTATTTCCTTTCGTCGACCCACTCACTGAAAGAGCCATATATGGCTTGAGAGTCTATTTCCGAACAGACTGGAATATCAGTCAGTCAAGCAAAACGCACTCAAGCCATAGCAACGCCTCAGATTGACATAGAGGGACATATGTAAAAATAAACAGCAATTTTCCGACTTTTGAGCAACTAGTTACTGTTTTGTACACATTGTCAGGTTAATTATAATTCCAATGCATTTTGTTTTATTGACCACAATATCATTGCTATTTGTCTGAGAGGGGCACTTTTTTTTGTTGAAAAAGGGCAGGGGCTTGAGCCCCCAAAGTCCCCCCTTCTGCACGTGCCTGTAACAGATGGTTAATCATAATGAAGAACTCAACTGAAGTGCATTTTTATTAATGTTAAAAACTATACCATCACTGTTTCTCAGACCTCTGTAGACTGCTTTTATAACCTCAAACTGATCCCAGACCCCAAAAATCAGAGGCAGGAAATTACTTAAAATGACAGGAAATGCATGTGTGTGTGTGTGTGTGTGTGTGTGGTCCTGGTATTTTATAAGTAGATTGATACAACACACTGCATCGTAATAGGGGTGAATCGTATCGCATCGCATCGGTAGCTGCTTCATATGTATCTTTAATGTATCGTATCGTTGGCTGTGCTATGGAGATGTAAACATAGTTTAGAGGATTTATTTGCAGATAATGACAACTAGTCAAAATAAAACAGATGCAGTGTTTTCAGACCTCAAATAATGCAAACAAAACAAGTTCATATTAATTTTTAATCAAAACAATACTAATGTTTTAACTTAGGAAGTGTTCAGCGTTTCACTTAAGAAGAAATCAATATTTGGTGGAATAACCCTGATTTTCATTCACAGTCTTTCATATTACTAAGCAACCATTGAATGGAATAACACAAAATAGGTATAATTTTAATGAATGTAATTATTTTGATCAACTCTTAACGAGTGCAGAGTAGTCCCTCTGAAATGGTTTGTAACATGGACTGGATGCCCACCCCCACTTTATTTCTAATGTATCCACTTTGTTTTTAATGTAAAAGCGTACACAATTGTCTTAGGTCGGCACAAAGAAAATCTTGCTGTACTTGCTATAAATGTCAGGGAAGTTTGGTCTTTCATGACACTTCAGACCTTTGCCTGTTGCATGTGAGTATCTTGCTGCATTTGTTAGCACGCAAAAGGAAGGTGCTTTTCTTCACTGTTGCATACTACTGAAAAACATTTCCAAATATCACATTTTCCTTTGGTTGGTTTTGTGTGATCCTATCTCCCGCTGGATTGCAGGTCTCGATCTTTAATCCCTCAAGTGAATTTACAGCTCAATTAGTATTCATTTACCTATTCATTTAGGCTACAGGTGTGAGTCTCGAATTTCTTCAGCAAAGTTCATACAGCATGGCTTTAATAGGCAGAATAGGACACCAACATTAATACTTGACATTGTTATTCTATTTGTAGGCCCATGCAAGTCTATTCAATTCTATTTGTATAACATGAGGGATAATCCATAGGTGTGCATTACACAATTTTAATGCATGACAATTTTAATGCACATTAAAATCGTGTAACCTAAGTTATACCTAACTGTGGATTATCCCGCCTTATACAGTCTTGGACATGAATATTGGCACCCTTGGTATTTATGCAAATAAATATGCATTGTCTTTTTTTTTTTTTTTTTTTTTTCCTTTCATCCAAAAAAAAAAACAACTAAAAAATAAAACATTTATTTCATAAGGAGATTTCCCCCATTTGATGTTTATCTGCTTACCCCCAGGGCATCCAAGCTGTAGGTGACTTTGTTTCTTCAGTAGAACACAAACTGAGATTTTTAACTCAAACCGTTGCAGTCTATCAGTCGTATAATGCATGGCAATGGTAACAAAATCTATGAGAGTAAAAAAAAAAAACATGCACAGACAAATCCAAATTAAACCCTGTGGCTCGTGACGACACATTGATGTCCTAAGACATGAAACGATCGGTTTGTGCCAGAAACCGAACAGTATTTATATCATTTTTTACCTCTAATACACCACTATGTCCAACTTCCTTAAGCTCGCGCACGGCATCCGGTGCGTGAGGTGTGTACGCGCTCTGGCGTAGTTTATGTTAATGGGTGTGTTGATATCCAGCCGAAGAGCAATCAACCATAACTTCAGGCGAGCAGGCTCAGAAGTTGGGAATACGTGGATACCACTCCCGAATGAGTTCGCACGAGAGAACGTAATCTTTTAGTTTTAAGTCGGTTTGAACAATCCGGATAAGTGCAAGTAAGTACCATTTTGATTAGCCGTCGTACCTACAATGTTTGGGCACTGTGTAAACCATGAGTGACGTATACGCACGAGAGATCCCTTCCGGCGCTTGCGTAAACTACGCCAGAACGCGTACACACCTCA